CCCGTCGGAACGACGGCGGCGCCAAGAACACAACGCTGCCGATGCATGGCACTTGTCGGTGTGGGATGGAGCGCTAGCCCGAGACAATTTGAACAACTCGACAGCCTCTCCTCGGAGCCAGGATTTTCGGTGACAGTAGGAGTTACATGCTTGAAACTGCTTGGATTTGGTGCCGTCGGTCGTTCCAGCGACAAGACTCGGATACGAATGAGCCAGCAGGCTATCCGAGCTCAAAACGACTACATCTTCAATCTCCAAGTGCAGGCGGACAAGTATGCTCGCCTCATTAGCAGCGTAAATGTGCGGATCCATGCGATCGACGACGAGTGGAAGTCTGTGCGTGAAAAGTTGGCCGAGTTGCGGCTGAAACGCAACGAAGGTGACCAGCGCGGCGGTGGCGTGAACGCCGTCAAATCGAAAATCATGAGCGAAAGCCGAGAAGTCGGCAAGTTGGAGAATCGATTGGCTGCGTGCAGGACACGGTGAGGCCGCGGAGAACTGTACGTTATACTGACAGGACGGAACCACAGCGAGTGCAAACTGGCGGCGACTAACACCGAGCTCAAGAAAAAGATCGACGGTCTGCGCGCGAGTCGGTTGTTTAGCCAGTCTGTGTTTGAAAAGGTAGGGACAGCACTCGTCGCACTGGCATTCACGGGAGCCACGGCGGTGGATAGAATCAAAAGAAGCTGCGCGACATCCAACGCCAAATGCAAGAAACGTTCAAGCAGTCCACGTTGATCATGGCGGAAAGGGACAAGGTACAGAGTGGAAAACGATTTAAAGGCCAGCGCGAGACTCACCGCCGCGCCCAGGTCGTTGCCCAGGCGCAGAGCTTGTCCAACATGAACATGGAAGAGCAAGACGCGTTCGACGAAATTTACCAAAACTTGGCCATGATTATCACGAGGGAGAAGGAAAACGCGGGTAATTCGGACACTCGTTCTTCCGCCGTGACAAGAAAACGATGGCGCAGAGGCGTTCCGGAAAGAAGCGATGAAATCCGAGGCGCTGGACGCCCACGAGGACGGATATTTTCGAGGCAACTTTCGCATCGACGAAGAGTCCGAGATGAAGCAAACTCTACAAAAACTCGACGTGGCGGTGCGTGGTGCCAGTCCATTCGGACACGACTCATGTCGACCCATAGCTTCGCGACGACAAAGCAGCGATCGAAAGCGTCAGCGAGCGGCTCAAAGTCCACGAGTCTACATTCAAGAGCATCATGGCAAGGAACACATCGTGTGGGATGGTTGTCCTGACGTCGAGCCGTAGAAACTCGTCGGAACCGACGACCACCACAAGCTCGTCGACCTGTACACGAAGAAGGAAGAGGAGAACTTTGCGCTCTTTCGCTACGTTCAAGTGCGTACACTCTGCTCCGTTGGATGGCACCTCACGCCCGAGCACCCCTCCCCTGCTTGCGTAGAATATCAACAACGAATGCGAGCAGCTGGAAGAGCAGACGCTGACTTTACAGCAAGAACGGCAAAAGTACCGACTGTTGCTCGATCGATTGCACATACTGTTGGCTTGTCTAGGTACTCGGACGAGCTCAAGGAAGGCAGCGCGAACATGCGAAAGCGCCTCATTGAAAGCTTGGAAGAGACGCGGCAAAAGTTCGACCGACGGCGTCGACCCAATGCTCACGTTTGCTGTAGAATTCTCCGAGAGAATGCAGAGTATGAACGGCTCCGGCAGTCGGCTCAGCGCGAATTTGGCCCGATTGCCCGCGCCGTGGACAAGTTGTACAATTCGCTCGGGTGCAATGAAATGATTCCGGTGCGATGGACACAATTCTTGTCCACGCGGGTACTCAATGCCGTTGGTAGCCGTCCAGCGGCCCCGTTCCGCCCTCGGCCTCTGGAAAGGCCAACGACGATCGGAACGCTATGATGATTCGAATGAGCTCCATGAATGACCTCTTGGCAGCCCACGGCATCACGGAAGGCAATATTTTGCAGTTTCTCGCGGTTCGACCATACGTAATGGCATCCCGTTCACCTGACCTACGCGAACTAGATCATTGAACAGCGGAGCAACGACTTGGTCGAGCAACTCACACGTCGGCTGCAACACAAGAATCCGCAAAACTTGGCCACGACGTCGTTGGGTGCACACCTCCAGCCGAGCGACCCGAACCGCGCCAACGGCCTGCACCTCAGCTTCAATTTGAGCCAAGCACCGCCTCTGCTGCACGCAAGTGAAACGAACGGGGAGACGGACAACACGAGCGGCGACGAAGACGACAGCTTGGTGCCCGTATCGACCGCCGAGTTGCAGCGAAAGGCGGCAAAGTCGTTGGCCCAGCAACTCAACAACGCCAAGGGATCGCCCACTCGCAACAAAAAGAAAAAGCAAAAATAAACGATTCCACGCAACCCATGTTTGGATTTGTCTCAACCTTGTGTGGTCCAACCAAAATGGAAGAGACAAGCGGGAGATATCGGCAGGCAGCATGTAGCTGCCACACTGTTGCAGGCGATTTTAACATGGGGACCCTTTGAACGCGGCGATGAGGGCCCCACGGGCCTGCAAACCTCGCCAATTCAGGCCAGAACGACCCCGTCGAAAGATGCCAGCCAAGTCAACTTTGGACATTGTGTCGACCGAGAATAAATAGATGGATCGAATATTTCACATATCCGACTTGAACGGCGTATCGAGGGGTCGAAGGATGTCCAAGTAGACGGGTTTGACGTCTTTGAACTGCTTGGAGAACGAGGCGGCAGACGCCATGGTCGATTTTCGAGCGACAAACCCGACGGCGCGGGACACTTTTCGCAGCGTGTCGGACGGTTTTTGGAAAATCGTGCTCGATCTGCGTTTGAGCATGGCTTGGTCGATCTTAACTTTGGCGGGCGACCGCAGCTTGCCCTTCATTTGGACGACAGTTCCGCGACGGCCTTTCAAGTTGCCTTGCAACGACGACGGTGCCTTCAACTTGACGGACAAAATTCCGTAGCTAGCAGGTGGTAGTTTTGCCCGACCTTTGGCAAGCTGCGACTGGATTTCTTCCGCCGTCAACGGGGGAAATTTGGCTTCGGGGACGCGTGGCGTTGTCGAGAGTGGTTTTAACGCCGTGCCATCGAGTTGGACGTTTGGTTTGGCGAGTTCCGATCCAGGGCCTTTGTACAATGGGTCACACCATTGCGCCTTCATGTTGTCGCGATGGGCAAACGTATGGCGAGGTGAGGTCGGATACAACGAATCGCGCGCGGCGCCGACGTCGAGGAACGGATCTGGCAGCATGGAAAGTTACGCGCACTCGTTCTTTATACAGTTTGGATGCACCGACATGGAGGCGACTCGGCACGAGTGGGAAACGGAGGGTCGACGATGTTCAGCGAGGGAATGTGGGCTTCCAGAGGCTGGGGGTCGTAGTGGCTTGGACCAGGCTCGGGGCTGGGAGGGCGCGAATCGGCGAGGAGTCGGGAGCACACTGTATCCAAGCTGACCGCCCCTGCTTTATTTGGATCTAAATACACGTGAAAACCCCACGACGTTCAACGGAGAACTCCACGACAAGATGAGTACCCAAAAACACCCACAGCTCGACAATGTCGGTTTCCGTGGCGTGGGGAAAGATCCACTGGATGCCTTCAGCGAGTCCCTTGAAACAGAGGCCCGTGCGTTGGCGATGCAGCTTCTTCAAGTCGATCGAGGAGGACGCCGCTCGGCGCAGCGGAGGAAACGACACCCGACGATGCAACGGGCTCTCTCCGGGCGTGGTCGGTGGATTGTGGCCCTCAACGACCGGTGCGCTCGTGTACTTAGCGTTCAGGAGAGCCGCGTTGTCGTACATGAAGATCAGGCGCGAATAAATGTCCTGCTGCGTGATGGGCGACCGGTAGAGCTGTCGCAATAGCTCCACCAGGCGATTTGGCGTTTGCCTAGTCCAGTTTTATCCTTTCATGTCATCGTGTAGGCAGAGACACGATGTCGTACGATGTTGCGCCGCCATCGGCAAACACGGCTTCCGGCCACACAATGTTGGGTGGGATGTACAACTCGGTCTCGGGGTTGGTCGACGCGTCGTCGTCCGCATCGGTTGGAGAAGAGGTCGTCGTCACATTCACACGCGCCGTCGGCTTGGCCGCCAAGTCGCGAAGAATTTCAGGCAGGTTGTCGACCCTACAACATGGACCGCGCTGCTGCTTGAGCTGCTGGAAGTGCTCGTTGCGTGTACCGTTTTGGAGGGATGGGGGTCGTCCGGGGATGGTGGGTGTCTTGTATTTTCCAACTCGTCGTTTTGAGTCGACCGCTGTAAAAGTTCAATTTGGGCGTATGCTTCAGTTCAAAGTGCTTTTGCCACGCCAGGCGCGCGCCGCCATCTTGATGCATACTTTGTTTGATCATACTGATTCGCGTCTGCCACGTGCGCCACATGACAAACCTACAAACGAAACGACATGACCTCGACGATTCCGGACGTCGTCGCGGACCAGGTCGAGTCGGTCACCGGGCTAAAGTCGCGGTCGTTCAGACTCACTTGGATGGACACGGGTCTGCGTACTTGGCGTCAGTCGAGCTTCCTTAGACACTCCGACGTACCCTTCCGATGGCATCGACGGCGTCACGCACGTCAGCACTTCCGTCGAGTCAAAACCCGCCCGGACCATGACGCAATGGTCATCGTCTGGAACAACCTGCCACTTGGACTGTTGGGTTTTCGGGCACGTGATGAATTGCAGCAGTGTGAAGCGCACGGACAACGTGTCGGTCGCGACAAAGTTGGCGCCACGAATGGTCAACGTCGTGCCGCCCCAGATCGGCCCGTCCGACGGACTGACTTGCGAACATTCTGGAACGTGGTGGTACAATTGCAACCGCATGGCTTGGCCAGTGAACTGTGTCGCACGGTTCGATACATCGCATTTGATACCCGGCGGACATCTTACCGCAGTCACGGTTTCTTTTCCCAGCGACACGTCCACGTCAAGCCACGAGCACGGGTTCTCGTTCGCGTCGAACGTGGTGGCTGTCGGGACTGCGCAATGAATCGCTCCATCCTTGTACGTGCCTCGAACAAGCAAAGGTTTGGTCGTCGAGTTCTCGCATGTGAATGACACCTATGCTGCGATGACTGCAGGCACACCGGACAGGGACTACCGTGATGTGTCCAGTTTCCACGAAATTGGACCCGACGATGCGCAGCGGGGGGTTGCCGCTCGCAAACACCCACGACGGATCGAGCCGCAGAATCTTTGGGGCATTGCATATCACGAGCGTTCCAGGCATGTCGATAAAGTCGTGGCCGTTCATGGCGATCTTGATCTGGACGACGGAGCCTGTCGACCGGCCGTGATATGTACACGTGTGATGGTCGCCTCGAGTCAGTGGTACCTGGCGGGAAATCGGGCGCCCAGCACTCCATTTGCATGGACGACATGACAGACAACGTTGCGATGGCATCGTCGAGCTTGATGTCTTGAGAGCCTTTTCGAGGCACGTGGACAAACTTCGCCTTTGGGTTGTCGACCGACCCAAAGTTCTCCCCGCGAAAGATGAGCTTGGTCGTGTAGGTCGCGTTGGCCGACTGAATCGTGTGCACGACGGGCGTCTCGAATACTTTCCATTCGTTCTGAGGCAGTTCGGGCATCGCAGCAAGTTCCTTGACTTGAAACGCATTCCACATGTCGTCCGCGGTCATGGCTACGTTGGTGCTGGACGCGTCGTGCTCCGGCGGAAGGAAGATGCTATTGAAATCCATCCCGTTCAGCGCGACGAGGAGTGTAAAACATGGCTTGGAAGCGCCTTTCGTCGGCGGTGTTGTGCAAACCAAGTGCGTTGGCGAGTCAAACTTGGCGTTGACAACCGTGACAGGTACCTGTGGATACCACCGTCAAACCCAGCGCAGTATATCCGTCCTCGTACCGATGCAAACACGTCGGTCTCGACGCGGAACGATTGTTTCAGGGCTGCGTAATGCTCCACGCCCTACGCCCAGACGGCACGAGTCAGGACGGCGAGGCGATCCTCGACGGGTGTGCTCGACGTACCCAAAGGAACGCAATGCGAATGCACTTGGTGTCGACAAAGTTGTGGCCATGAATGCTCAGCTTGCTCCCGCCTCGCGACGGAATGCACTTGGGTGCGATGCTTTCAATCACAGGCAACGGCTGGACGTAATACCTGCACGAACCATGAGACTGCCAAGCGTTGGTTGAATGCGACTGCCAAGCGTTAGAGTCGACCGGGGGCATACGTGATGGGACATTGGGAAATGAAATCCTGGCCATTCAATGCGAGCTCGACCACAATCTCGTTCGGAATGACGTGTGCCGCTTGCTCCGTGCGTCGTGAGGTCATGGGTGCGCGCTGCAACATCGAGTGCTGTCGGCTACAAGGACACAAGATTCAGTCCATTCGAGCTCGACATCGTTCGAAGGCTTCAGCACGTACTCGCCACCGCTTTGAGGACGTGCGGGTTTGACCCGCCTAGACGTGCGCACAGTTGAAAACGAACAAGAAGCCATGTCGAGATCGTACTTCGCAATGGCTTCGGCATGCATGGTTTTCTTCATGACCGAGCGGAGCTTTCCCCGCAGAGTAGACTCTCGGACACTTGACTCGCGTTTGAGCACCATCGGCTCAAAATGAATAAACAGCTCGATTTCGCCTCGAGACGTTGCCGACGGTTGGGCCGGCGACAGCGCGGCCGTCGCATCGGTGCCGCCATCGCGATCTTTCTCTGCAATGTCGTGGAGCACCTGTCGAGCTGTACGCTGAGGCTGTGGCGCAACGATGGCGCACTGAGGCGGATTCAGCGAAAACCATGCACGAATCAACACAGTGTGGTGGACGTCGCGCAGCGGAAACGTGATGGTTCCAAGCACTTCGTTGCGCATCGACTTGACTTCGTGCTCGACCGTGATGACCTACGGAATGCATGATCTTGACATCGCATGGCATCCCGTACCAAGTCTCCGTGCCGATGGCCTTCATCGCTGCACAGTTCAAAGTCGAACTGTTGGTTGAACACTGGATTACAGCTGTAGTCTTTGGTGGCACTGCGCAGTCGCTGGTTCTCCAAACTGAGCAACACCACCGGACACAGAGCTTGGTTACTGCCCGTGCTCCCGTTGCTGGGCAGTTTGAGGTTCCGCGCCCGCAGCACCGTGACGAAGAGCCCGCTGTTGCGAATCCAGAGTTTGGGCACGTTCGGGTCGTCCTTGCTCGTTCCTGAAAGGAGTTGAGGTGTCGCGACCGGGACCTACAGACACGCATCGAGTTGTTGATGGCTGCACACTACAAAGAAATTGAACCACACACCGTGAATCGAGGTAAGCGACATCGAACGATGCCGTTGCCGCCATCGGTTGTGTGGGTCGTTTGGGCTTGGCCTAGAACAAAGCAATCGGAACGTTTTCGGCGTGCCACCGCCACACCTTTCATTCGGAAGCGGCACCGTCGATCGGCGAGGGGCAACTGCTGGCACGAGTTTTCCCAACACTCGACTGTGTGGACCATCACATCGGTGGCCCCCGGCACGAGATGTAACGTTGGGCTCAAACTACGCAAGACGGGCACTTTGTAATACACAAACGGAACACCGTCGTTCGAGTAGGCGGCATCTGGACCCCCCAGGGACACATCCAGCTGAAAACAGTATGAGGTGGTCAGGATTCTTCTTCATCGCGTGGATCGAGACCTGTACCATCACATGGAGCTTGTCCAGACCAAGGCGACACGGAGGGGTGTAGCAATGCAGGATGCCGCCATGCAGCTCGCCATGAACAAAGCTGCGCTCGATCAGCTTCTGGTTTCGAAACATGGAGAATCGAATCACCGGCGGGTGGTCCACGAGCTGACACAGCGACAAGTTCGTTCCGTGGAGGGTCAAGAACGAGTGGCCTGGCCGATCAACCCCGACAATGGTGAAGCCGCCACGGCCATGTCGTTGGGACGTACCTTGAATCGGACCGCCGCTCGGCACGACATCGGACATGTCAAACATGCGCAAGAGCGCAGCTACCGTCAACGGCGTGTACGTGTGTCGATCGAAACTTACGCAAAAGACCGCATTCCGCGATTGAAGCTTTGGAGGCACGTCACACCGCAGCTCGGTCGTGCTCACAAAAGCCACCGGCAGCTCGACCATCTTGTCTTCGTGCACCTACGAGAGAGTTGGTCATGTTCTAGGGCCACCTGCCGCGGACTCACCAGGAGGCTGTCCAATTTCGACTGAATGACAGCGTCTACGCATCGCGTGTACTGAGTTTCCATGGCGAAAACCATGCCCATCGACGACATGACAGGATGGCCGCACCGTCCTGGTCGTGGTCAAAGTCGAATGCAGGTGACAAGAAAGCAGCGCGGACAGAGATCATGCCCGAGTTGAAAAATCCTTGGCCGCGAATCGACACGGTCCCGCCGGTCGTGTACGGAATAAACGGAGGCTTCAACTGGGTCAGGCGCGGCAGCTCGTACACATGAAACTGCACGTTGTCGTCGGCTCGTTCCTGGTGCCACATGTACTGCCCGCACGTGATCTGAACGCTCAGCGAACACGCCTGCGGTAGAGGTGGAGTCTGGGCCACAATCATTTCCGTGTCCTGCAGCGGTGAATTCAGCGTTGCCGTGAGCTCGACCGTCCGCTTTAACGCGTTGGACCGATCCGAGTTGTCGAGATGCACGACTTGCCGACACGGCATTCCTGGCTGCAAGTCAGGCATGACCCACTTTCCCGTCGCAATTGTTTTGACTAGACCATGCCCATGAGTGACAGCTCCACGTTGATCGAGTTGTAAGCAGTATCGTGGCGAGGGCGCGTACATGTTTTGGATCTCATTTTTGCACCTTCGTCCAGATCGCCTACGTCGGACGCCGCGCGAAGCGTTAGCATGACGGTCTTGGCATGCCCCAGCACTTCGAATTGCAGCGTTTCGTTCCACAGCACGGTTCCCAAATCCTTTTTCAAGTGGTACAGCATGCGCCGACACCCCGTCGCGACCGGATCGTCGTCGTTGTACTGGACAAGCAAGCTGAAAACAAAGCTGTTTTCACTGTACGTGCGCCCGGCCACGGAGAGGCCGACGACCGCTACGTCCAAGAACTGGCGAAGCCGAATGTGGCCAGGAACGTCCACGACGTGGGTGGGTGTCCCAAACCGGACTTGAATCGCGTGGGTTTCGACAAATCCGACGCCCCGCACCTTGACCGGGGTGGACTTGCCTACACACGGCATGGAAGGAATGAAGGCAGCACGATGCGCGTGTACTATTACCATGGAGGCCACATGCAGGCTCGATCGATTCCAACTTCCATTGCCTCGGGTCGTACGAGCGTAACGTGTACGGATTGGAGAAGCAAATGTCGTTGATGGCCAGCCACATGGTGACTGGGCCAGCGCAGGTAAACGTGGTTGGGACAACGCACTGCAGTGTGTACGTCTGGCCGCCGTCGTCGGTTGCAATGGCAGCTTGCGGAGCGACTCGCGTGAGATGGTCCCCAGCCTTGAACGACACGGTGAGGTGTAGAGCGCAGTCTGGACTGGCTTCGAGAGATGTCCATGGCGCAAGTGCTTCCGGTGTTTCCCAGTGCTGATATGCATCGTCGAGTACTTGGAGCGAGTCCAACGGTGGTGGTGGAGGCAACCGAGGTGCATCTACACGGATGTGACGTTTCAAGAGGACGACATGGAGCCGCACCGGCAGCAATCCATTGCGCAAGGCGGACAAAGTGCTTTCCAGGTCGAAATTGAATCGCCCCCACGACAAAAAGGCTCGACATGGACGCACAGTGTTCTTCGCGTGGCAATTCTTCATGCACGATCGTTTGGTCGTGGCTTAAAAGAAGCACGGCATCCAGTGATGTGCAAGGATCTGGACGATGCCGTGGCGCTTTGGCCAAGTTCACCCGAATGAAATACCATACGCCTTGGTGTGCGACGTCGTCGTCGTCGGTGGCGGCTGTCGCCGAGAGCGCCTCGATATCGACATCGTTGGCTGTTTTCGGGCCGGCCGTCCACGCGACATTCCCGGCCGCATCCACCAGATCAAAGCACCCCACGGCACAAAGACGATGGCTGGAAGATGGTTTCTTGACCAGAACGACTTGAGTTGGTACGTCCATGTCGCGTACAACCCTCCGAAACGTGTTGTAATTGTCGTTGAGATGCACCGTCAACACCACTTGTCCGCCTTCCCAGTCTGTCGCGTCCACGTCGAACGCGCCAGAGTCGACGACGTCCACATTCATCTGCAAATGCACAAACGTCAACTTGTTCAAGCATGTGCAAGGGGTATACCAGGGCGACGATCCAACCAAACACCCGATTACGTGCCGTGACTTGAATGACACCCCGACTTGGGCGGCTTTCGTCGGCAAAGATCACCTCGATGTGATGGGTTCGCCGAGGACGCCACACGGGCTCGTCATCACCAGCGATATAGCTTGGGCTGCTGCCACTCGTAGCGCCCAACGTCTTTAACGTCGATAGTGGAGGGTGCGAGTCCATGGCGGCAGTCGGGGCCGCAAACCGCCTGAATCGTGAACTTGTTTCTGGCCAATGTCCCTGGCTAGGGTACAGCAAGTCCGCCACGGACGACGCGGCGAATTTGACGGTCATATGATGCCCTCCTTGAAACGGGAACTGCCGGGGAAAACAGTCCATGATATGCACGGGACGATGGACTTGAATGGGGTCATGCAACTGCGTAAACTCTTGCGAATTCAACGCAAACGAGACGCGGTATTTGCCGTCAGTCGGGAAATGCGGCAAGTCGCATACAACGCTGCCTAGTCAGGCTCGCTCAGCACGCAACAAAGCGCAGGTTGTGCTACCTGCTTGAACAGAGCACGGAAGCAGAAGTTCGTGCGCTGTGTCGTCCGTGATGGACTCGAACTTGATACCCGCACACTTGGAATCGTAGAGCGCAGGCGCTTCGAAACCTGTCAGAACGAGCTGCCGCAGGCGGTGCGAAGTGGTATGGAGGCCCGCCAGAAGGTCGAGGTTGGTCTGGGGGACGTGAAGTGGCCCAAACGTCAAGTTTGTACATGTCAGGGGAGTGTAAAATCGAAATGGAGCACTTCGCGGGAGAAACTGCTCCCCGCCGTTCAGACTAAAGTCAACCAGCACGTCCAAAAACGGATGGTCAGGATCGACCGCTCCAAAGCTCGACTCGTCGACGAGCAACGTATCAGGTGGCTGCGCCAGTTGGCGCACATGGACGTGGCCTGGGCGATTCAGCCGGGCGGACGTGTGCAACCGCGAAGAATGGGCTCTCGTGTTATGTTTTGCTCCGTGGTGGGGACCATGTCTGTGCTGCCCGCGAGTGTGATGAGCAGTCACCATCGTCATCGCGACAGCATGGAACTGGAGGGGGGCGGACGGCGGGGATATTTCGCACATGCGCTCAATTCGAGGCGCGCGGCACAAAATCAGCGGCGTTTTGCTCGTCGTTCCGTCTGGAAACGTGTTGGACACTTTGCCCGGGACAACACAAAACGCATGCTTGTTGGCAGCGCATTGAAACCTCACGTGGACTTGATTCGTATCGATCACATGCGTCGCTATATGTGGGGCACGTCATGGCCACGAACATCGTTGGCTGCGCGCCGGTAGCATACCTTGAACGGTCAAGATCGAGCCGCCAGTGAGTGGGCCACACGATGGCACAACTTCCGTGATGGTGGGTGAGTCGTAGCAGTGAAACTTTTCTTTGGCCATGTGGACTAAGCTGCTGTCGACGCTACGGACAAAGAGCTTGAGATGCTTGACCATTGTCATCGTGATGTCCGTCGTACTTGCGAATGTCTCCAAGCAGTAACTCGACCGTCGCGACACACGGGAAGCGAAATGGCGGGGCCCGGCAAAGCACAGTACCGAGTTGGACATCGACCTGCAAGACGCAGCCAAGGCACGATGAACTTCGAGACTTGTACACTGCGTTAACACACCTCAGTCGAGACCATGACACTGTCGGGCAGCTTGGCGGCCGACGACGACTGTCCGATCCATCGTACGGGCGTGAATTGGATGTGGCATTTGCAGTCGGTACGCAGTAGCATTTTGATGAATCGGTTGCTGCCACACGCGAGGACGCGGGATCCGCCGCTCGTTGCGCCAATTGTTGTCGCAAGGAAGAACGGCGGCGCAAACACCCGGAACGGAAACAAAGGACGAATTTTGTGAACAGCCAGAGGACTCATGTGCCGTGGGTCGGGGTAGTCGGATTCTGTGTACTGCTGGCCATTCAAACTGAATTCGACGCGGTAGTAGCCGGCCTCGACGCTGCCTTGCGTCAAGAGGCACGTGATGGTCCTTCGACCAGTCTCCTTGTCGCAGTCGACGCCGCCGGGCATCGTCGAATCATTCATCAAAACCACAGAGCCCGTCATCACGATGGGGATTCGGCCCTGCCATGGGATAATCTGGACTTGAATCGGCGCCCCAAAATCCTACCAACGACACAGTCACGGGACCAAACGAATCCCATCCCTTACGGCAATGTGGTCGCCATGTAGTGTGATGGTTGTGTCGGCATCGATTTGACCCCACTGTGGCGTCATGGCCAGTAGCTGTGGCGGCGTGTAAAATTGATATGCAACACTATCGTCGACCACAGCACAGTGCTTTGTGAGGGACGACGTGCTCGATCGAACCACGGTCGGATAATCCAGGCCATTGAGGCTGATCTCGATGGAAACGACGTGCGGGCCATCGACAGGCGGCGAAATGAACCCGAGGGTACCATCGGGAGCAAAGACAGCCGGCACTACAACCGGGGGCACGTCATCCCGACTCGTCAACCTGAACGCGACTTCGCCAGTATCGATCGCACCAGGGCACTCGACGACCACCCATGTTTGTCCGGTGATGGGACCCGCCGCTGGCGAGATGCGTCGAATGGGAGGAGGGGGTGTGTAGTACAAAAAGGTCACGTTCGTCGCGACGAAGAAGACGCAGTTGTTCAGAGACAGGTAAAAGTGGACGTGCGCTGGTTGCGGCCACGCCGGGGTTGCAAACCAGATCGCTCGAGTGACCGGGTCAAACTCGGCTGTGACGCGCTGGCCTCGTCCTGAGATCGGATCGACGACATTCACCACTGCACGGACTAGCGCCAGGTCGACAGGAAGTCCGTTCGACACATGGAACTGAATGACCGTGCCGCCTCGAATGGACCCGCTATGCGCGCACTTGAAGTCGAGGGCAAGTGTTGTCGCGGCATGGAACTCGAACGACAAACTGTCGTGGTGCGAATACTGCTGGCCATTGCACGACACGAGCACTTTGGCGCGGCCGATTTGGTCGACTCGAGGCGTGAGGCACGTCACAATCTCTGGCGTGACAAACTTGCCTTCGACCACGTACTCTTTCCCAGGGAATTCAAACATAACCAGGGTGACGCCGGTGGCGACAAATCCATGGCCTTGGATTTCCATCGGGGTGCCGCCACAGACGGGCCCAAAATGGACAGTCGAGTGGGCGGTGTCGGGACAAGCGACTAGTGGCGGCGGAAACGCTTCAAAGTGGACGGGGAAGCCACCGATTTTGACCGGCTGAAAAGCTTGTTGGTTGAGAGCCATGGACATCAAGTGATTTCCGGGCGGCAGGGGAGGCACGACGCATGAAATTTCGTTGTCGCGGCGAGATCCGCACACGTAGACGTCGCCGAAAAGCAGCGGGATTTGGTCCTCGATCAATTGCATATAGTGCACTTGCATCGGGTCTACCTTGAGCGAGACGACAGTGCCCCCCGACGTGAAGCCGGCCAGCGGCTCGGCGCTCAACGTAGTCGGGGGGAAATAAAACTGTGACCCGAAAGGCAGTGGGCTGAATTGATCGTGGCGCGTAGCCAGCTCCAAACTGATCGGGATCACCTTCCAGCCCCCCACCGCCACCCGCCGTTTCGAGCTCCCACGTTTCACAGGACTCGTGGTAGCAGTTTGCGACGGCGCAAAGTCGACGGCAGCTCCTTCACCGACTGTCGCATCGGTCGCTAGTGGTGGACTAAAGTCAGCTGCACTCGGACATTCGACAACGATTTGTTCAGGCGAGATGAACGTCGCCACGAGGGTGCGAGTCACTTGGACTTGAGTTGTGTAGCCTACGGACTCTCGGATCTCGTTGAACGTTTCCTGACATTCGTGCCGTACCTGGAATCGTCGCGCGGACGAGTATTTCACTGGAGGGATCAAATCCGTCGCCAAAAATGTGCAGCTCCGTTGCATGTTCAAATGGGGCGGCGATCGGCCAGATGCGATCGACTTTTGGGATTGAATACACAGAACACAGCGACAGGAGATTCCCGACCTACACGAGCCATGCAGCATTGAGTCACAACGACGCGATCGACGGCACAAAGGCGCCAGCGCACCTCGAGGAAGTGCTGGCCATTCAAAGCAACTTCAACTTGCACTTGGATCAACTGACTCGGGGACGAGACGACCGACGCCAAAGGCGGACATTCCCAGTCAATGTAACTCGATGACCTATATGCAGGGATCGACGCGGTCAGCTGTCGCAGTGGTTGGTCAGGTTACCATGACGTTGCAACGACGGGCTGCATGTTGGATTTAGTCACTGGAGCATTCGCACACAAGCGGTGGGCAACCTACTCGCGCCGATGTGAGCTGTGCCATGTCGCCTCCCATCGGACCTTGAGCCGCACTTTAATCCTGTCGCTGACGATTTCAGGCTGCAAGTACACGCGTTGGGTTGTGCATAGTTGCAATGCCATGCCCGCTGGCTCGACGCGAGTCATTCGGTGCTGCCGGTAAAAGACGAACGGAATCCCGATGTCCGTGTATTCGCAGCTATTGAGCGACAGGTCCAACCGACTGTACACCACCGACTGGACAATCTTGAGCACGGGGGTTTGGCACACAATCGCGCCGTTGGCGTCGAGTTTTCCTTCGACGAATTGCGCCACTTGTCGCGTATCTAGCGCGGACGAGGTCACACGATGGCAACGACTCGAAAGAATACCTCGATCCGAGTCAGGCTTGGTGTATGTGAATCGGACTTGAATGCTGCCCGTGTCGATGAATTCGACGCCTTGGATCACGACAGTCGAGCCGACCTGGGACGGCGAGCAGATCGGGGACACCGCCACGATCGCCGGCGCCTTGAAAAATAAAAACTGGTTTCGTGTAGGCACCACTATGTTTTGGAACGAACATTTGGTGTACTGCTGGTCGTTCAGGGAGACGTAGATGTCGCAGCACCCGAGAGCGAACGACGGCGCGCAGCACATGAGCGTGAGCGAGTCCCCAAACACGTCCGAGTGCCGTGTCGGGTCGAGTTCGATGAAGCCTCGGACCTTTCGATGCGTCGCTCCAGCACTAAAAACAACGCTCACGGTCCCTCCGTGATCGACAAGGTGGAGGCCTTTGAGGCGAAGCACTCCCCCGCCTTCCTGCGACGACGACGTCGGCCAGATGTAGTTGATTTGCGGCGGCGTGTAGAATAAAAACAGCAAGAACGAATCGTCGACGTCGAGGGCGGTCTACTCAACGTGTGACGTCCAAACTCGCCACGTCAGAGTCGTGCAACTTACGCGAAACTTGACAGAGTTCGACGTCGGGTCGTCCGGTGGAATGTAATCGACTCCCTGGTTCAAACTCACTTGGACTTTGGTGAGGTGGACGGTATCAATGGATGGCCAAGGAGGCGTCGTGCACGAGATCACGCACGCGTCCTGCCCATGGTCCATCCTGCCGACCACCGACGAAAACACGTGGCTGCTTCCTTTACTCGTAAACTTGACGGCAATCGGCAAGTTGGCGGGCACAGGATGATTCATGCGGATTTGTACGTGGGTGCCGCCAGAGTTGGGGCCGTGATGCATGGAGAGAGACCGGACGGTGTACTGGCCAAAGTAAGTAAACGGGAGCCGCCCATGGAACTTGACGCCGTCCAGCGAGATGGAGACAAACACGTGAAAAAGCAAAGACGACTTGGTGTCAAAGCCCGGCGACGTGCACAGAATGACACCAGCCTGGTCCATGTCGGGCTCGCCATAGACCACTTGGGCTGGAGTGTCTGTGTCTTCAGGCTCGAACTTCACTCGAATCACCTAGAAACGATCACAGGATGCGTCGATAAAGCTCTTGGACAGCGCACCTTCGTCAGCTTGAGGGCTGATCGTAAGAGCTGGAACGAGTCGGCTGCGTCGTCCTCGAGAACGGGAAGTTGGATTTCTACTTGCAAGAGTCACTGAATTCGGGCAGGACGACGACAATGCGTACGAATGGGAGTGCCGCCTGCGATCGAGCCTTCCGTCGGCAACAGAGCTATCGGCAATCGTTCGCGGTATAATAACCCTTGAATGACTTGGAGACAAAAGTGTTCTCCATGGTTGCACGACACGGCGAACTGGGCCAGTCCATGCCGAGACTTGGGTGGAATCGCCGTGGTAATTTCTGTTGGCGACGTGCACATTCCGTTCAAGTTGACGAAGGGCAGCGGCTGCTGCTTGCCGTCGCGAGTTGACGGGTCCACCTGTGCAGAACAACATCAGGTCTTCTCTGAGGCGGGGGACGCATTGAACGAACGATGTGCTGGAGCTGGACAATGATCTCTCCCGTCTCAAGGAAGTAGTCTCCACTCAGCACGACTTCCGTGTTGTGCGTGCTACCAAGTATGCTCAGGAACAAAAGCGCGCGGGTCAATCGTTTCAGTACTTGCTGATGGCGAGGCATCTTGGCTTGATACCGCATAGAGTGTAATCCCGCAACACTGTGTACCCCAAGCTCTCGAAAAACTCGACTTTGTTGAGCGTCACGTGGACTTGCATAATGCCTACCACGGCCAACGCGTTTTAGCTTGCGATAGCAACGAGTAGCAGTGAAACCGATGGCAGCTCTTGGCGGGTCAAATTCCAGCATGAGTTCGCCGTTTACGGCACTGGAAGCATTCCAAGTGGCCGCCCGAATGACCTGCACTGACGTCTTTGTCTTGTCACTCACGTAGCTTACTCGGACAAAGACAGGCAAGGATGTCAGGTGCACCAAGGGGGCTGCCTTCAGCCGTGGAGAGAGGTCTTCGTCAACGCGGTGGCTCGGCAGGGAGTCCGAGTGGGTAGTCTTGGGGAGTTCGGGCGTTGTCAGGATGTACGACATGGCGTACCGATTGTTGAGAAAGAGAGAGATTTTGGCATCGGAAGTAGCCGATAGGGGCAAATGCATCGGCGACACTTTTTTCGTAGTGATCTCGGGGTACAGCACGAGCCTCAAACGAGGTGAGTCGGTGGTTTTTGATGTCGACGTGCCGCTGTTGTTGCAGTCTGTAAGTGTCAGAGAGACCTATTGTACCACAAAGTAAACATCCTGGCGTTGAGTCATGAAACGAGTACCCAAGCTTCGGCCAGAGATGCTTTGACCAAAGCTGTGACGTCTGGAAGTACGAACGAGAGCTGCGTTTCGGTAGCAAAGGTGGCTGGTATCTCGACGGTTTTACCCACGAGTGGGATGCTTAATTGGATGGTCAAGACAGTTGGAGGCCCTTTGAACCACAGCCCTTGGACGGTCATGCGTGCGCCGCCCTTGCTGGCAGCACATGTTGGATCGATCACGCGAAGCCGCGCCCGGCGCTTCTCCATGGCGATGTGCGCTACAGGACAAAGATTGCGACGTTTCATCCACCAATCAGCGAGCAGTTCCGGATAAATACGAGACATTTGAAACGCGTGACATGGCCATGCTCATGTCCACATGACCACTGCATGAACGGACCAGTTCCACCACTCAATTGTATTGTTGACGTAGGAGCGACCTGTGTGTACCAAAAGCGCTTTTGACGTGTAGTACCTGCATCACGGGCCCGACACGGCGAAAGGCAACTACTGGTTTCCCACGGCGACCGATAATTCATCACAAATGGGCTGCCTTGACGCACCGTCCTTTCGCGCCGTTGTATGCACAATACGTCTAGGTTATGCCCTGAAGCTGGCGGCATCGACATAATCGTTTGGCATGTATACCGATTTAACCGTCAGTGCCGTGGGGGTTCGTTTTCGAACGCCAGCAAAAGCAAAACGGAAAAACCCAACAGTGCTTCAACCGCCACCACTTTTCAACATGACGTCGGCGACTCCCACTGCGTTTGAGCTCACGGAAGAGTTCATTCAGAGCCGTCGCGGCATCCAGCTATACACTCGCAAATACATTCCGTCGCAATCGCATCACATCGTGTTTGTGTTTCTTCATGGCGTTGGAGAGCACTGTTCGCGGTACCACGACACGTTTACGACCCTGGCATCCCAAGGCATTGCAGTCCATGCATTGGATCACCATGGCCACGGACACAGTGAAGGTCCTCGATTCGACTGCGTTGCGTTCGATCACTTCACCGACGACATTGCGACCTTCACCGATCACATTCGCTCGGCGTATACCTCGTATGTCCCCACCGCTCTCGTCCGAGTTGGAGGCCTCACACTTGCCTCAGGTGCCATGACGTCAAGTACTTCCTCGGAGGCGTGTCCTTGGGTGGTTTACTTGCGGCAACCGTCGCAGTGGCGGCCCCCGATCGCTGGGACGGAGTCATTTTGTACGCTCCAGCCATCGGCATCGAGTACACGTGGATATTGCGACTTCAGTCCATATTTGCCCCCGTGTTGGAATGGCTCGTCCCCACGTGGGAAATCGTCCCTGGCGTGATTCCAAAATGTACGTTGCCTTTGTCGTTGCTCGAATGCAAACAAATGCTTAGGGATCAGCCGCAACCTCGAGTATTTGGACGACTACACGTCCGACCCGCTAAACAACCACCGACCGCTCAAGGTTCGGTTGGCCATGTCGATTGAGCGTTCGATGCACGCCCTCCTGTCGCGGCAATCGGATTTTCGCACGCCACTGCTCTTGTTTCACGGCACGGCAGACCTCGTGACGAGTCCAGTTATGTCTGAGCGATTCTTCAACGCAATCCCTGCTCAAGATAAAACGTTCGAGAGTCTGCCGGGCCAATTTCATGCGCTGCTGAATGAACCCGAGCGCGCGGCGACTGTCCTCGCCACGGTGAATTGGCTCAAAGCGCGCTCCAAGTTGTAGCTTTTTTTGCCATACATTTGAATCGAATTCGAGCCCGTCGACAGGGACATGACGCACTGTCATGCACGACCACTGCACGCGAGACTTGTCTGCCGCGCACACATCCTTCACCGCAAAATCTTCCACTGCCACACGCCATGGCCATGCACGCCGTCGCAACGCACAATGTGTTTTGCCATGGAGCGATGCATTCGAACTGCGCCGACAACAACTCAACTGGTTTGACCTCGCTTGCGACCCCAACCGCGTTTGCTTGCACCGACGTTGATGGCGACGACATCTTCCCATCTACACCGAGCACAAGGCTGACCGACAACTCCGCCATCACGATGCGTGATTGCGCGGCATTCGTAGCGCCAGCGCGCGCTTTCTTGGACTCCTCCAGCGTCGTCCGACCGCCGGCGAATTTGCCGAGTCGGCATCCCTTCCATGTAAGATGCCAATTTTAAAATAAATAGGACTACACGAACCTTGAAGTATATATAGCCTAGTGGTGGAGGGTACAAACGGGGGGAATTTACGTGCATCCGTGGCGTTGTCGCGGATACATTCACTTGATGTTAGTATACCTTTGACCACGCGACAACTCGAGTCGGACGTGTAGTTTACCGAGAGGTGGGTACGAATCCGAATAAAATCAACTGAATGTTTGTATGGGAAATTGAATTGTCGTGGCGATGCGAATCAACTTTGCGTACTGACTGGTGGCATTAGCCGAGTGGGATGGCGACCGAGAAGACGGCGCTGCTGAAGGCACCGGCGGACGACCGCGCCATGGCGCTCGAGTCTGCGATCGACGACGCGACGGGTGAAGGGGACCTGAAGAAGCTCGAGATGCAGCACCTGCTGCAAACCAAAGATTCGTGGACGTGGTACCGCCTCGCGTGCCAGTTTCGATTTGCGTACATGTCGTTTCTCGTGCTCATGGTGATCGTCATGTTTTCGTTCTCGACGTTGATGGAAGTGTTCTTCTCGGTGTTTCTTCCGTCGGCCCAAGCCGCCCCCGGCTTTGTCGTGCGGTGCATCGTGTTCCTGGGCATCCTGCCCTTCTTGATCATCCTCCTCTCGTACGTGTTTGAAGAGTCATGCCGATTCTTCATGGATTCGCTCGACAGTTCGGAAGGCAGTTTGCCCAACTTTCGCCTGAGTGTTGCTGTCGTCCTCCATTACCTTCGCCACCACAAGGAAATGCCCGAGGACGACGTCGGTCGAGCCATTACGTACGACCCCTACAAGGACGATAAGCCCGAGGTACGGTCGCCGTTTGGGACAGTCCTCCGCGAGCGAGCCTCTCATGATGGCGTTGCTCTAGACGGCAGAATCCAACACAGACGCCGAAACTAAGACGACGCACCACGTGATGCATCCCAAGTACCGGTGGAAGCTCGCGATTCGCCGCGTGATCGCGCGCCGCAAAGCTGCCATCGTGTTTGGCACAACGTCGTACGACGGGCCTCCGATCGACTACAGCACGTTTGTGATTGTGGACTTGATCTGCCCGGTGGTGTTTGAAGTGGCCACGTTGGCCGGCTTCATCTCGGAGCTCGTCGCGACGCAGTCCATCAACGAAGCATTCTATCGGTATCTCCGCGTCGGGTTCTTCACGATGGGGTTCTACCTCGCGCTCTGGATGGCATGCCACTGGTTTAGCAGCCGCAATAGCCGCATGCGCGAGCTGGTCGCCAACTACCACCGCACGCGCCGCGCGTTGGAAAAAAAGATTTCGATCATCGTGCATGAAGAAACGTTCAAGAGTTTCTGGCTCTTGGACTTGGGGTTTCGCGTGAGCCACACGGTCCAGCGCAGCATCGCGCGCGCGCCGGCGTGGTGCTGCGGCTGCTTCCAGTCCAAGACAACATTGCCCCACGATGCTCACGTGTCCATGGAGCCGTCGGCATTTGAACGGTGGCACAAACCCCACACGGACATGTGTTTGAACCCGTGGAAGCGCCTGTCGCTCAACGGCCGCCTCCTCGCGCTCTTCCCGGCGGTCGTCCTCTCGGCGTACTTGAGTCTGTTGTCGTTTTACGTCGGGTGGCCCTTGATGGGCTTCTTTCTCGTTGTCGGCGCCACCACGATCCAGCAGCGATTCCCTCAAGTGTTTGGCGACGCCTTTCGCCACTTTGTCACGGCCTTTATTCTCGTCTCGTTTGTCTTTTTCACGTCGTCGTTCGTGGTCGGGACGTTTGTCACGGGCGGCAACTTTAACGTGCGCCCGCCCCATGCCAACCAAGTGGTCGACGTGCCGCGCGTCGAAATGTGGGGCCAGATCCCTCGGTACGCCGTGTGCAACCTCAACCAGTCGGGCCTCGGCATTGTCGACTTTATCCTGCTTGCGGACGCAGCATACGGTCGCAACACGAGCCTCCAGCAGCAGATGCTCCACGAACGGTTTGATGGGACGGGGCTGCGCCATTGGAACTTTACGGACGCGAGCGACCCCGTGTTGGACCATCAAAAGTGGTTCCAAGTCGACTTTGTCGATATTAACACGACCGTCGTCGCGATTCGCGGGACAGCGTCCGCTGCCGATGCGCTCGAAGACATGCACTACTGGTTTGGCATCACCATCATGCAAGCTGCCAACGTCTTTATCCCGTTTCTGACGCAGCTCCCCCAGGACTTTGTCGTCCAGTTGCTCAGCATGAACGTGCTTGAAAAGATCACGCCGCCGCCAGTGTACACGAATCTGGTCAAGAAGGTGTCCGACCTGCGCGCCGCCGGCAAGCGCGTCGTCCTTACCGGCCACTCTCTCGGCGGCGCGATGGCGGCCATGGTTGGGGCCAAGACCCACACGCCTGCGATCTCGTTCTCTGGCCCCGGCCTCGCCTACACTCGAGGTCGCTTCCACCTCGACGAAGCCGACATCCGCGACTACGTCATGACGATCAAACCTGTCAGCGATATCGTACCCCGCGTAGACGTCCTTGGTGGCATGGTCCAGGACATCGAATGCCGCAAGACCAACCCACTTGCATGCCACGGATCGTCCACCCACGCGTGCGAGCTCTACATGGCGTGCGGCGACAAGCGCCACCGGGACTGGTCGCAAGCCACTCAATGTGCCGACTACATCGAGACCAAACCACAGTCGACGCCATCCACCGAACTCTAAGTCAT